TGATCCAGTGGGGGGTTGGGTATAATATTTTCATAAATTAAAAACCGAATAAAAAGGATGAATTTGCAAATTTTTCACAAATGGAAAATTTCATATTGAAATTCGAAATTTCGCTATAATTTTTCCCACTGGACATGATGAATATACGACAAATATGGTCTTTTGGAAAATTTTAAACATAAATAATTCGGAGACACTGTCCCTCAACCTCCTTATATTAATACTCAACATTCGGAACAACTCTGGCTTCTATTGGTGATTTGTAGAGGTATTAACACATGATTGAAAATTTACTACTACAAATTATAAAGTTTAAGAGTGTTCAAAAGTTACTAATTATTACACCTTTGGATTTATGATAATTGATGATGGTTAACGATGTTTGATTTTTTTCTTAAAACTGGCCTTAAATATTAATTTCCAATAGTGAAAACATTTTATTATAAAAATAAAAATTGGTGAAATATATTGGTAATTTCTATTATTGATTGATTATACACAATCACACAAACATTATTTTATTTTAAATATAAAAGTATGTAAAATATCAAATATATATGCTCTATAAAAATTAATTGGACATATAACAAATCAATGGAGCCCAGCCCATAAGTAATCCATTCGATGTAACTGGGCTCATCGTATTATCCTGAGCCGCATCTCAGGCCCAAAATTCTCCATCACAATGAAGATAAGGCAGCAGCAGAAAAAATAACGTCAAAAATGGAGGAAAAACTATCGTCTGTAGCCAAGACACTAACACCTTCCCCCATCCAACAACTGTCCTACCTCGCTCAAAGATGTAACGCCGTCAACCTCGCCGAGGGCTTTCCCGATTTTCCGGCGCCCCTCCACATAAAAAATGCCGCCGTCTCCGCCATCAATTCCGACTTCAATCAGTACAGGTTTGCTGCAATTAAGAAAAAAACTTGTAAATTAATCATGTTATTGTTCAAAATATTCTGCATATTAACAGTGCTGAGTTTTTTTTTTTTTTTTTTTTTTTTAATTTGTTCAAAAAAATTGTAGACACGTGCAAGGAATTTGCGACCACGTGGCATGTAAGATGAAGGAAATGCATGGAATTGCAGTTGATCCGCTTACAGATATCGTCATTTGCTGCGGCCAGTCCGAGGCGTTTGCTGCAACGATTTTCGCAAGTAAACTTGTTATTTGTTAATTTATAGTCCAGTTTTTCTCCAGGAATTGTCAATTTTAGGTTTTCATCGATTTTATTTGATAATTTCTAATCCATTTGTTTGTTATGTTTTCGTTCAGTAATTAATCAAGGCGATGAGGTTATACTTTTCGATCCATCATACGAAACATACGACACTTGTATCAGGCTTGCTGGAGGAGTTCCTGTAAGTTGATCTAATTGCAGCAATTAGTAGTTGCTGTTATTTTTTTCTTAGATTAAATTTGTTATGTTTCCAAAAAAAATAAAAATCAGTTCATTTGATGTGAGGATGATGTGAGAATTTTCTCATTGGTATTGGAAAAAAATGGCAGGTATATGTTGGACTTGATCCACCACACTGGACACTGAATTCGGATAAACTGGAGAAGTCGTTTACTAACAAGACAAAAGCATTAGTGTTGAACAGGTGCGGTTTCTGATTTTCAAAATTTCCCGAGCCGATTATGTGCGTTTCAGGCGAAAAATTTCGTAACTAATGGAAGTTCTAGTTTAATGCATAAGTTTAATTTTGTCGATGTGTGCAAATCTTGATGGCACAAGGTAACAATAATGATATATAACTAAGCATATCGATTTAGAACTCTAATAATTCAAAGTGGCACAGTCCTCACAACCCAACTGGAAAAATCTTCACCATGGATGAGCTTGAGATCATTGCTGGAGCTTGCCGGAGAAGGGATTTGCTTGCTGTAACAGATGAAGTATGATACACAATACTAAATTCTTAGGCTTATACGTACGATCAATATTTTTTTCTGAAAAAAACTTTGTTCAATTTCATAGTTCAGAAATTTAGATTAATGAACCGAATTCGTGATTTGGTATGTCCCCCACTATTCTGCAAGCAGAGTTCTTAAAAGGTTCAAGGTTTCAAAATTTTGATTAATGAGCCGACTTGTTATCTGGTATATTTTCCCTGTAGTAGAAACGTTGCGTCGTACATGATTTCATTTTTGTCCCTTTTGATTATTTCGACAGGTATACGAACATATAACGTTTGACAATGAAAGGCATGTATCACTTGCTTCACTACCTGAAATGCAATCGCGAACAGTCATTACATCTTCCTTGTCAAAAACTTTCAGTGTTACAGGTAAATATCCGACCTAAAGTTCACTCGTCCTTGTGTACTCTTGTGTTTAAGAAAAAACGAGCTGTAACGATTGGGAACAATAAAGTATTAACGAGCTTGTGATGCATTTAACAGGATGGAGAGTTGGGTGGGCAATTGCCCCCACTTGCATCGCCTCTGCAATCAGAAACATTCATATCAAGATTACAGATTCTGCTCCAGCACCTTTCCAAGAAGCAGCTTTGTCTGCCTTGACAAGTTTCCCTGCTTACTTCGATTCATTGAGAAGAGTAATACTTGCATGGATCTTGTGATGTAATTTAATTTATTTATTTAGCTCAATTTTGAAATCATCAAATAACTCCGAAAATAACAAATGCTTTACATTCTCAGGATTATGAATCGAAAAGAGATTGCATTTTCGATTTGCTCGTCAAGGTTGGATTCAAGATGCAATTTAAACCGCAGGGTTCGTTTTTCGTATTCGCAGAGCTACCTGAAAGCTGGCCTCTTTCTGATGTGAGTCGCTTTTTATCAATTTTATGTTTATATAATGTTTTCGAATATTGGGTTCATATGTAACTAACTTTATATTGCATTTTGCAGGTAGAATTTGTAGAGGAATTAATAAAGCAAGCAGGCGTAGTGGCAGTACCAGGTTGTGGGTTTTTTCATGACAATGCATCTGCAGATTTCGAATCCCAGCGATTTATCAGATTCGCGTTTTGCAAGAGCGACGATACGCTAGCCATTGCTTCTGCAAAGATTAGTGAACTCGTGGATGCTACTGGCAATCTCAAGCTATTTAAAATAAATCAATAAATTTTGATTCCAGTATAAGATAGATGCTTGAATTGAAATTTCGATTTTGTCTTGTAGAAATTGGAGTTGAACTTATCTTTTTCAATTTAGTATTGTCAAATCTACTCCCAGGAAAAAAAAATATTATACATTCAAGAAATTAAATAACAAAATATGAATTATAGTAGTTCAGTAATTTAAATTGTTTGTCCATTAAAGAAAATAAGAAAATTTATTAAGCAACGTTTTATTTCATAGCTAAAGTATTTTATTAAGTGAAATACAAAATTAACGCACGTGGAAAAAAAATTCACATGAAATTGGTATAATAGTCCCAAGTCATGAGTCAACTCAACTCAATGCGATGAAATTGCAATATAAAGTAATAATTTAAATTTTGATGTTGGAGAAAGTACGTCATAACCTTGGTGCTACCGATGGCTTCAATAACGGTGGTGACGGTACCTGACGGCGATCGCACGCCACTTCTTCAGCCGGAATATTCCGGAGGAGGTACGGAATATTCTTCAACGCAGTCATCGGAGGAGCCTCCACCGAAGAATTCAAATGGTCCTAAACAACGCCTTGTATCGCTTGACGTTTTCCGAGGCATCACCGTTTCGGTACTACTTCTACAGAAAATGATTTACAATCGAGTTCCATAGAATTTGAATTTCCGATGCTGTTTTGAAATTTTTTAGTTGTAATTTTGTAGAATTTTGAACTACTAATTTCTAATTTAACAGCATCTTTTGATAGTTGATGATACTAGTTGATGATGCCGGAAAAGCATTTCCGTCCATAAACCACGCGCCGTGGTTTGGGGTGACGCTCGCGGATTTTGTTATGCCGTTTTTCCTCTTTGGAGTAGGTGTTTCAATCAGCCTCGTGTTCAAGGTAATCAAGCACCACTAAAAACAACTCTGAATTGAAATTCAATCATTTACGCTGTGTTTGATAGCTAGGAATTGAAGCGTTTATGATTGGATTTATAGTTATTTCCTTTCAGATTTTAAATGTGTGTTTTACCCAATTTGAATTAAGAAGTGGATTCAGTCATACATTTCATTACATATTTACTCCAGTTGAAGTAGTAGTAACGAGCGAGGCTTTGGTTTTGTGATGCAGAAAGTAGTAAACAGATTAGCAGCCACGAAGAAAGTATTATTCAGATCCACGAAGCTCTTTCTGTTGGGAGTGATTCTTCAAGGTAGACGAATATTGAGTTTCTTGTTCGGATATCAAATTCCGGATAATGAACCAACGGAAATGAGGACCTTTGATTGCTTCGTTATGCATTAAGTTTCTCCATATGTAGGGCGTATTTATGTTCGTAACTTCGTATACATGTGTGCTTAGGTGGGTATTTTCATGGACGTGACAATTTGACGTACGGGGTTGATGTGGAAAAAATACGTGTGATGGGTGTGCTGCAGGTATTTTGACATGCCTTTACCTATCTGGTTTGTCGTTGCAGTGTGCAATTTAGGTCTAATGATATAAACCAAATATTAATTTTCTAATTTCTTTTTCTAATATTCCTCTTTATTACATATACTCGTCAATATAGATGAGATGAATTGTTGGTTTGGTTCTCGTTTGTTTTTTCATGATCGCGTGGAATAAGTTCATGCCCCTGCAACGCAAAATGATTTTTAATTGGGCCTCAATTCAGGGCAAAGTATTCTGTAATAAATGCCACTTTCTTCTATTTACTTGGAAATTAATTGAAACATAATGTGATATTTTCTTGCTCTATTGTTCATATATTTCTTCTTTTGCAGATAAAAAGTTCACCGATTCTTAGAACTTACACCCCGTTTAAACATTTGTTTTGCAGAGAATTGCAATCGGATATCTGCTAGCTTCCGTTTTGGAGATTTGGCTTGTTAATAATACTGTCGTTAATTCAGCAGTAGCGTTTGTTAAGAGATACTCCTTCCAGATGTGAGTAGAAACCCCCGCTGGCATCTTTTTACTCCATAGAAAGTGCTTGAAATTTGAATGATAGATGATAAAACAATTTAGTTCTTTGTGTTTTCCTGCATTCATATTTGGGCTTATCTGCTAATCTGTTGTGTGCAGTGGGGCTGGAATTTTAGTAGGTGTATTGTACATGGTTTTGCTGTATGGACTGCATGTTCCAAACTGGGCCTTTGAAATCTCAAGTCTCAGTACGATCCTACCAACGTCACTTGGAGCTAATAGTCAAACTGTGAGTCAAAGTCAAAGTATAGATCCTTCTAGGAGAATTTCTTTAGCAATGATTTTGTTTGATGTGTTTAAGTTTTAACACAACAATCTGTTTATAGGTTCACTGTGGATTGAGGGGCAGCCTCGAGCCTCCTTGCAATGCAGTTGGCTTGATCGATCGGATTCTTCTCGGGGAAAAGCATCTCTATCAACGCCCTGTATATAGAAGAACAAAGGTTGCTTATATTGTATTCTTTTTTCGATCTTGTTTTCTTATATTGTGTTCACACTCCCTTTGATTTTTGTCCACATATAACCTGTTCTTTACAGGAATGCAGTGTCAACTCTCCAGATTATGGTCCTTTACCGCCAAATTCACCAGCATGGTGCCTGGCTCCATTTGATCCAGAGGGAATTTTAAGGTTAGGGATAAACTTCTTTTAAGGTCTCGTTTGGCAAAGCCAAGATAAGATTAAATAATCTAATGAAACCCAATTGTATTACCATGATTTTACAGCTCTTTGATGGCTGCCATTACATGTTTTGTCGGATTGCATTATGGACACGTTCTTGTGCATTGCAAGGTAATATTCATTTTAATTTTCTTGCGCAGTCCCCTGAATTGCCTCCTCGTATATTATGATTCGTCATATCTTACACTCCAATATTTTACTGTAGGGTCACATGCAGAGGATATTTTTTTGGCTCGTATCGTCCCTCCCACTTCTGATCTTGGGTTACCTTCTAAATATTTTAGGTACTTTATGTATTTTTGTTTACTTCCACTAACACGGTTTATAATTCTAATTGCTATGTATCTTCTATTATTTTCAGGCGTTCCTTATTCTAAACCGTTGTACACATTAAGTTACATGTTCATCACAGCAGGAGCCTCTGGTGTACTTATGACCATTATCTACTTTATTGTGAGCGTACTCTGTGATTATTAGTCCGTTTTATTATATACCGTGGCTTCCTTTTACTAATAGTTAATATTCCATCTACATAAAAAAAAATGAAAAAATACAGGTTGATGTCAAATGCATTAGAAAGCCAAGTGTAATATTTCAATGGATGGGAATGAATGCACTCGTTGTCTATGCTCTAGCTGCTTGTGACATATTTCCAGCTATTGTGCAAGGTTTCTACTGGCGTTCACAGGAAAACAACCTGGTGATTTTCTTCAAGAAAATTCTATCAGCTTTTTTGTTTTTTTCTCATGCTATATTAGTATTGAACCATGATTATTTACGAGATTTACTTGCATTTTTTTCTCATAAATATGCAGATACAATACAAAATTCGGTCCTCGCTAACTTAATCCAACGATCTATTGATTTTTAACATTGTCTCTCGTTAAATTTGATGTGCTTACTGTGAAATAAAAATATGATATTGCTTGTAGGTTGACTTATCGGAGAGGCTATTGCAATCGATTTTCCATTCGGAGAAGTGGGGTACATTAGCCTTCGTTGTGCTGGAGATCGTATTCTGGGGTGCTGTTGCAGGTTTTTTACACATGAAACGCATATATCTAAAACTTTAAGGTTGTCTACTTGTCCATATGTATATATGTATATAGGAAAACCCATATTACCAGCTGTATTTATTAGCAAATAATCCATGTAAAATATGAATAATATTATATATACATGTATGGTAGGATGTTAGGATGTAAAGCCCTCTATCAAGTGACAAAGGTTAAAAGTGTCAAAGTAAAAAAAGGTAATTAAAATAAAATAATAAGTTAATGAATTGAGTACTGATCGATATGATCGAGGCTGGCACGACATGATGAATAAAAACTTTTGTGATGGAATATATTAAAATAAGGGGAGACCGAGAAAAAGTGGGAAAACAAAGGTGCCATCGAGTGCACAAACCATCACAGTAGAATCTACTGACCCAGTTTGTTTTTAAATAAAGAAAAGCCAGAATTACAGCTGTGCATGTTGGGACCCTCCCAATATACTTTCTCGATGCAATATTTCATAAATTGTATGATAATTTTGAATTAATTGAAAAAAAAAATAGTTTTAATATTATTTTATTATTACATGTAAAGAAAAAGTCTAAATTAGATTGAAATTGGCGATTTTTTATGTCTTTGATGAAGTCCAGATTCGAAAATTGTTATCCAACATTGTAGATAATGTTACACGCAATCAGTTAGATCTTTTACACATTGAATCATCTTACCCCAAAATTATAAATAAATAAAAAAGTAACTTAAAAAAAGGAATATTTATTTATTTGTGGTTGGACACATAACCCTAATAAGTCTCCGGCTCCTGGAATTGTAAAGAATAGTAATAATAGCACGTAGTTCTGCGTCCTCTTTTCTCTCTCTATCTCTCTTTTTTCTCTCTCTAGCTCTCGGTGGCATTGTTGTAATAACATGGAAGAGAGCGGCAGGCCGAGTTTTCGGTCTGGTGGCGGAGAAAGGAGGTTGGAAATTATAGTGAGCGGAAAAGGGCATTATCACGGTGGCAACCAGATGTACACCACGAGTCATCCCCCCCGGACCCCCGATTCTCCACCGGTTCGTCCCGAATCCACACGGCAGAGCACGGCGGCGGCGAAACCGTGGGGATTTAGTGACCCGGAGATGAAGAGGAAGAAGAGAATAGCGAGGTATAAAGTGTACACGGTTGAAGGTAGGAGGAACACTTCAATCAGAAATGGGTTTCGCTGGATCAAGAATA